AATACTTTTTATTGTTACGTTTAACTTTGCTTTTTTCCTTTTGTTTTTTTTTGTGGACTGTCTCAGAAGGTGCTGCCGATAAGGCATATCACCGCTGGGTAGTGGCCTCCAGTCATAGGGGCCTTTCAGTATTTATTATAACTTTGCCAATTATGCCTTCTAATATTTCAGATATCTGAACCAAAATCCAAGTCACCAAAGCCTCTATCCGAAGTTGAAAAATGTCAACGCCGCCACAGTGGACATGAGCTGCAGCGATACGGGTTTTGAAGCTACTGCCGCCGCCTACCTGAAGGTACGCTACTGGTTTTTACAAGGCTTTGTAATCCTCTAGAGATTCTTGGCTTCTTGCAGGTGTTCGACGAGGTTATAACTGCTGTTGAGGAGAAGCCAGCCGACGTGCAATCGGCATGTGATCGACTGAAGGCAATTGGAAAAATGCATCGTACAAAGGTTCGTATTTCAAAGTGAGCCAGTGGGTCCCCGGCTGGTGAAAAAGTCCTAGTCAGCGTCTGTGGAGGAATGACGCCCGCACTTCTCGTTTCGCAACCTCCGCTCCTTTGTTTACTTAACATATATAGTTGATAACGTCGCAGTCTGACAGAGCTGTACCGGTAGGGGCGGAATGAACCCGCCCAGGCGGCCTTGATCCACCAATAGGGATCGGATAGTGATAGAATGGGAAAGCAGCCAATGGTGAAAACGCTGTAAGTGGGCGCCCATCCCATTCTTCCCAAAACCGCCCCTGTCGATTGCCACTTTATCAACTGTGGTTCTACCATGTCATATCATACCATATCAGTTCATATCATTTCCTATCACACCATATCGCAACATGTCATTTCATTTTTCAATTTTTCTCAAATATCGATATACTATTTGTATTTTGCTATTGTTGCCAGAACATTTCAGGTGTCTTCAATTCAAAGCAACGCCTTTCAAGTGATGGAAGAGCCGTTCATGTATATGGTGAAAGAGATTCTACAGGATCGTTTCAACGAAAAAGCCGAAGGACTCTTTCGAAAGTTCTTCCAGTTCTGTCTCAAATATCTTATCGAAGGCTTCAACGGCTAAACGTATCACAGTATATCACTCACTACCTATTCAACAATTTCTAATGTGATTTTCGCTGACTTAGTCAGCATTATGTGACACTCCGAAAGATGGCAATCACCAGTCCATTGGTCCTGGTAGCGGTTTTTGAATTCCAGAAGGCCTCATTTTTCGTTTTTCGAGCGCCATCTCCTAGCGAGTTGTCCTGAGTTGTTCCCTAATTGGACTTATTTGGAGTATTTACCTCCCTTCCGCAAAAAGCATTTCAAAGATGTGCCGAGGAGTATCTAGGG